TCTTATTTCTGCCTTTAAAGCGCATTTGTCTAAGAGAAGGACATTCCGGGAACATCCCGGACGGAAAAACTGATGGCCATCACCCGTGTCAATCCCTTATGAAATTATAGTGGCTTATTATTAGACTGCCTACCTTTGATAATTCATGGGCAAGACGCACAGACGCACTGGACGAAATGCTTAATAGCCGATGTCAGAAATGAAAAAAGATAACATAATTCATGTTAGGTCACTTGACGGCCAATGCCTGAGAGAAAGCATAACATTACCTAATTTTTGGCATTCACCTGATCAACCCTAACAAGGAAGTAATCTGTTATATCATTTAGAAGTGAATTTCGAAATCTAACGGCTTCAGCACACGACACTGCAGCAGAAGTCGAGCTTTTTTAATGCCAGAAATCGAAAGTTATGAAGAATCTAGCGACACAAAAGATCCGCAACTACAACGGGTTGGTGAAATGGCAGAGGTTTATTAGCTCTAAGTCTACGAGCTCTACAAGTCAAACGAATACCCATGCTCGGGGTGCTCCAACAGCGCACCAAAAAAGGGCTTAATGACATTTTCTTTTACTGCATAACTAAGTCAGTATAGCACAAAAAATACTATGATGTGCCAAAAACGAGCAGTTCGGTTTCAGATTTACGTATTCACATACGTGCATTGGTCGCCATGCGCTATTTTCGAGTTACCTATCGCCTTTGAATCAGTAGCACGAATGCTCCTAAAGATGGAAGACTGTTCAAATATTGAATGTTTGCAACTTGTAAGAGTTTGGTGCGCAAAGTTCTTAGCTCAATTTCATATTACAGCCAAAATCAACATGTCTGGGTACGACACTTACCGGGATCTTTTCAGTAGTTGTCGAGTCAGGACCATGATGAAAATCTCGGTGCAGCTTGCCAGAATAAAAATCGGCCGCGAACTGTCGCAATGCACCGGGTTTGCTTAAAATCTTTAGGTAAAAGAGAAAGTCGTAGAAAACACAATTTACCTAAGATCCTTGATGTTTGGGAACAAAAACATGTGACGGAAGTTATCAATAACTATCAGCGGCAGATCGTTTTCAGACTTGTTCAGGTGATGCAACGGATGCGAAAACTTCCTACCATCGGCCACTAAGCAGTTCAAATCAGCTAAAAGATGCCGTTATCATGAATTTGTTTCGCCATGAGACAAAAAGTGCATGTCATTGCAACAGAAAAGACATTCGTTGGCTCATCTGAAAGTCGATATCGCTATTTTAGAGACTATAAATCTAGTTCCAACAGGCAGTTTATACTTACACAAAACGAAAATGCAATAGTAACGAGGATTGCACTGTTTCAAAATAAGCAACCATCTAGACATAATGAGAACAACTGTAACAGTTCCGCATGTGCACAAATACCATGACATCACTGTCAGCAAAAATGGAACTAAAGGAGCAAAGGGCGGTGGAATAAGCTACGAAATATCATTTTGGCCGAGCCATGTGCCAATTAACATACCCATGCGAACGAACCTATATTAATGTTGATGGTTTGGGGAAGCACATAATACGCTACTGGGTTTTAAAAATAGTTAGTGGTACTGCTCTAGCAAATGAAATTATACAAGATGCAATTAATGAATTGTAGTTGCTCAAAAATCAGAGCCGCGATTCGGTTAAACTGCCCCCTACGCATTTTGGAAAACGGCCGGTTCAGTAAACTATGAAATCCGGTTGTGCACGTTGTGCGCTTATTGGCAACTCAACGGCAAATCTGCTGCCACTTAAAAAAGTTGGACATTTAAAAAGCGGAACTATTCGTCAAGGCGAAATATTTTTGTAGCTAAAAATTAAAGCATATCCGAAATTTAGACCCATATCAGAATACTGTTTAACAATTTACGATTAGTTTTACGGACATATCCGCAATATTAAAAATCAGTAGTTTCAGATTTTTATGCGATAACAAGTAGATAGTACGCGAAGTCATTTCACCTAATCATTTGTCTGACTGAATGTGTTGGCGACCAACACATCATAGTGAGAATTTATTCGACTGAAAACCTACTCATTACAACAGAATACCTTATACTCCCTTCTCAATAAAGAAACTCTATCAAACCGAGTTTAATGACTTTATCACAAAATCCCTAGCTATAAGATGATTAGTAACAAAATAAATCAATAGATAGACCACTTCTTGACGTACACGTTCGATCAGATAACTGGAGCATCACCTGATCGGTGAAAACTTTGATCGTATTCTTGTCACCAGGAGGCACAAACAAAATCAAAAAAGGACGACCTTCTTCGGTGAGTTCCTAAAGAATAAAAGTCAGGAAAGCGACTTGCCACATCACATTACCTCGGCATTCTCGAAAGTGAGCTCTCGAACAACCGGAACACAGTGTTCAGTTGCCCAATGACGATAAAGCTCGTAAGTGAGGCCGCCGGGATAAACACTTTCACCTTCAGAAGTTGTCTAAAAAATTCGATTTGGATAAATAGGGTGGCAACCCCGCCAGAGCATCATTAACACACCTGAGCTGGTCGAAACGAAACTGACTGGTTAAATGCTGGAGCTCTAAACATAGCAACATGCAATTAATTTCCACGGTAAAGATATTCCAAAAGGATAATCCAAAAAATTTTGCAATATGCATGACTCAACGGAATATTTTCTTGATGAATGATCAGGAATCCCAAACGTAGAACAGATATGGAAAAGTTCAACAGTCGACGAATTTCGCTATCCACACTGAGAAAATCACCCAACCCTAATAATATTACCAGCATTAGCGAAGAAACGCTGTTTAATACTTAGTTTCCGTAACCATATATTAAGGAAACAACCAGTTGCTGAATTATGGGCTAAGAATTCGAAACTCTTTTAAGAAAAAACATAACTCATGATGAACAAATACAAAACGGCATTCGAGCGCGCTGAACCTGCTCTCGTAACCAAATAACCTTTTAACTAAGGCGTTATGGAGGATAGCCACAGAATCACAGAAACCAAATTTGGTTTCAGAAGACAGTACAAAATGAAGATTACATTCAAACAGTATAGAATTTGACGCCAAAATCGATTAACGTTACAAAAACGTTCGCAGCTTCTGCCGTAACAGGTCTGAAGGCTACACTACTGTGACAGTAGTATTTATTACCTTGAAATACAACAGCGCCTCTCAGCCTATCAGAGAAATCATCCATTATTTAAAACACATACGTTGCAGGGGCCTCGAGTATTGCAATTTTACAGTTGGACTCACAAATCTGAGTTAAAGCATATGACAAAAAGTACTTGCCCGAAAAAAACAGAAAATCGGCAATCGTCGCGAAGAATATAAGCAACTTTGGCAAAGATTGCGTACTCTTGGGACTTTTCGGATGCAAAAATCCCATACAAGTTGCCACGATTCGGCTAAAACAAAAGATCGTTAGACCGTAGAATCGAATTACCGCATTTTTTAGTGAGTCGTTAAAGGTAATGGCATTCGAACATCTACACGTTAGAATTTAAACCTAGGGTACGTGTCTCACTAACGATCTGCTTCTTATGCTTAGACAGTAATCATATCAATTTTGTGATCCGTCAAAAGGGCGTAAGACAGAGGCGCGTAGCGAACAACCCAAGAACATAAACTGCTATAATTTTTGAAATAGATCACTACATATACAAGTTTACGTCAGTCCACAGAAGCACAATTAATAGGTACAGTAGGAAATCGACTTTAACACAGTCAGACGACAGAATGCAGCTGCGTTCAAAATCAAACGCTGTATGAGATTATGCGCAGAAACCGCAGTAATGACACATCTGCGTATTCTGGAACTACATCCTGCAAGTGCCCGTTGAGCATATTGAAATTGGACTTTGAGGGATCAGTCAGTCTAAATTCGGCACTACAGTGTTCCAAAACTAGACTTGATTTCCTTAGAAATTGACCAGTTAGTCAGTTAGTTTGCAAAATGACGACAATCAATTGCCTGCTCGATGCCTTGTCACGACTAAATACTTCGTACGTGGTAGATTGCTTGCGGTGCACACGGTCTTTCGAGTTGCACAATGTAACAATAAATCCGTAGATTTGCTTTACGGCGCTTCCGGTTTTCTGACGAAAGTGTCCCTTACAATAATCGATCACTAGTGCCAGATGAGAGGAGCTGCTCTCAGCCAAATCATTAAAACCTTTATGAACAGCTGCCACTGGAACAAACATAAAGGCATCTTATGTAAACACATAAGTTTATTTCATTGAAATACGAATCAGTTAAAGGAAGTCCAGACACTGGCCTAAATTAAAAGAAACATCCCTTTAACCTTGCTCATGGACAGATGGTTTCACATGCGTTCAGGAGAGTTTTCTCGATGTTGGCCATAATTTTCGCTGGAGTTAAGGTGCGATTGCAATTCTGTAATAATCCACATCACTCAT